CACGGTTGTTGGGATCTCCCGTATCCTGTGCTGGAGTTCCACTGTCCATTCCATGCCATGGTTTCTGAACTAGATACAAAGCTAAGTCCAAGGGAACGCTAAAGACACTTCGAATCAAAGAGCTCCATAGAAGAACAAAAACATGCTCAACGAAGTCTCAAACTGCAGCACTTGCGTCAATCTTGCACGACCCTTGCACATCACTTGCTCAACTCTTGCACATCTGTCGCACACCCTTGCACTGCTTCTGAGGCTTCACTTGCACAACACTTGCATATCCCTTGCTGGCACACCTCTCGATCCGAACTGGCAGGTTTTTATCCATGTGTGCACAGATCGCAGTTGGCAATGGAAGACGCTTGAGAACGTGGTTGGTCAAGGCAACTTACGGCACTCAGACCTTCCAAAAAACAAGAAGTGCTTCCGGGATGAAACATGAGGAGCGAAAGACCCATCTGCCATCTTTGGCACGGGCAACATCACGAATGTAACTGCAGGAATGGTCACCCTCAACTCCTCCCATGGGGATCCTTGAATGGGGGGGCGTGAGGGACCCTTGGCGATTAAAAGCAGACCCAAAGATGCACAACGGACGCTCACTCAGAATGCCACCGTACTTGGACGCAGCCTCTTGTGCTTGTCCTGCATCTGAAGTGTGAGCCCTAGCATAGAAGGAGATCGGTGGAGACCACATGCTGTCACGAGCATCCCAATACGAGGGTCGAATTGTTCTCTCAAGAAGGATAGACGCGGCCCCGGCCACCGTTGTGTTGTGTGCAACAGGCATACGAGCAATCCCTGCTGCCGAGGTCTGCGACTTGAGCATGATCCTCTCAAAGTGGTTGAAGTGGATACTCAAACACTTGCACGAACTCAACAAGGAACGAAGCTCAACAGATCGAATGTTTGCAGCTTGATCGGCTGCAGCAATTGCTTGAGAGACAAACTTCAGTGCTGTCGAGTTGACATGCTGAGAAGGAAGTCCTAACAGGCTCATCAAATAGTCCGCATTGCTTTGCATCAAGGAGCTGGGAACTTGCAACTCAAGATTGGCCTGTATCTTTCTCGAAATCTCACATGCCGACTTCATACGGCCAGAGCTGGAACTGATCAAGTTGCGTAGGGTAGTAAACATGGGGTATAATGCGACCCAATTGAAGTTGGCTGAATACACTTGAATCAGCTTCGCTTCTTCATCACGCACTTCCAACCCACGAAGTTCAGGAATCACGAAGAAGTTTGAATCTTGTTCCCACTCTACTTCCACATGTCCTCTGAGAAGAGCTCGATTCCCAAGATGCTCATAAGATTCTTGCAAGGGTTTAACACGAAAGACGTAAGTCTGGTCCGCACTGAGCTGCCACCCTACACGATCAGCATAAGTACCAGGAATGTTATCGCAAATCGCACGAAGCCGGATGCTGTTAGGATCTGCAACAAGAGAAACTCCGCTTCCATGAACTTGCCGAAGTCGTTTTGAGGGCTGGGAAGAATCATCCGTCTGGACTGTGATGCCTGACTGCTGGCTCTGACCAGAAATTGCTGCATGACTTTGTTGCGAAACAACAGTCTGCTGTATGTCGAGCAAATTGTTGAGACCGGCATACACATCTCTGTGACCTCGGACATGAGTCAAGTTTGCCGACATAATTGCTGAATATTCAGCAAAATCGGCCACCGAACGAAACGACAGACGGAAACCTGTGCCATCTGCATGAAGAGTGATGGCTGGTGGAACATCTTGCTGTGGAACAGGTCGATCACTTACAGCACGTACGGTTGCAGAGGTAGGGGCTACATCTGCTGTTCCCAATCCAACATTGCATGCAGAAGAGATCGGCAAAGATGACGAAGATGGCGTCGAGCAAACTGCAGGAGTGGGGGGTGGGGGAGGGAAAGCGGGAGGGGGAAGGGGAGGGGGGGGTGGAATCCACTTCGCTGTGGTGCCACGAGAGGGGGGCTGGGCAGCAGTGGGGAGGGGAGGGGGTGGCAAAGGAGGGAGGGGAGAGGAGGAGGGTGGAGGGAGAGGTGGGGGAGGAAGAGGGGGAAGAGATGTCCCGGTACTGCGTCCTTTGTCTGAAGTAACCATGGCAGATTGATCAGCAACTACCAAAAGTACAGCTCATGTACTCAACTTGCAGCCGAAGACCTGCGACAAGTCACCGGTATAATCAGCTCGGGGGATTCAAACAGATCATAACAAAGTCGATGAGAGAATCAGCATTCAGTTTCGGAAAACGCATTTGGGAAAAACTCACTGAAAGAGTCAGCATGCAAGCATGGATATGAAGTCAAAGGAAGTCATCCAATGCTTATTCAATCAGTCGGGAAAGTCAGCGCCAGAGCTACCTCTGGGAGACACGGCGCCCATAGGGAATGCCGTTGTGAAGCACACTTGACACATCGTGTCGCAGGTCTGGTCAATCAGTGCATATTGCTGAAAGCTGTCAGGAGAAGTCAGAACATGCGATCTGAAGTACTGCCATAGGACAAACACAAATCTCTCATGTAAGACTGACATGTGCAGACCCTCACTCATGACTGTCGCATTAACAGACAAACTCTTGAACAGGAACTGAGCAAGAAACTGACCAATGCAAGCCCTCACTCATGACTGTCGCATTCACAGATAAGCTCTCAAGCTGCCACAAGCGTGACCCATGAGCAGCTTTATGCAGGTACAGGTTCACACGTCTGTGAGCCCATCCAGTCAACATCCATAGCTTCATTGGCGTGGCTAGGATGCGACTGCCACGCCCCCTGCTGCCTAACTCACTCACGTCTCTTGGAAACAGAGTTGGACACACACACACACAAACAACACACATACACACACTGACACACTGACACGACCTGCCCGAGGTGGGAAAGTAGCCAACCCCAGCTCAGTGCAGCCGAGGCTCAACAAAAGCAGCCGCATGCTTTGAATATTTGAATATTTTCAATGCCCATGTCGGCACCTCAGTTTCACAACCCAGGTGTTTCACTACAAAACGAAGCCGGTGAGCTTGCCAGGATAATGCAGCGCAGGTTGATTACTTTTGTCCTGCTTGTGCTGCCATGATGGCGATGCCAGGCACGTCTGAGCACACTCACTCTTGATGGCAAGGCCAGCAGCAAAACACTGGTAGAAAGTCTCTACCAGACGTACCACAAAGTCAAAGTGTGGGGGACCTCGAAACGTCTGTCTTGCAGGCATCCGCACAGCTTGCTGGACCCTCATGGGCAGATGTTGCCAGCATCTGTGCGTTGCACGACTACACGGCCACGCTCTCGAAATGAGGAAAAGAGCCCAAGCACCTCTCGTGGCCGGCGGATGCAAGAAGGTGCTTGCCCAGGTGTGGATATAGCGCTTAAGCTGCGAGCTTCGAACTCGGCTAGCTGCTACAAGTAGCTAGGTCAACTTCTGCACATTCTGCAAGATCCCTGCGCATCCGATCCGGCGCGAGGCGGCGAGGACCAGATCGGGCTACAGCACTCTCAGGAGCATTCTATGTGATTCTATAACTCTATGCTTCTTCACGAACCGAACCTTGCGGCAAGATGCGTCGGCATGCGATAGCTGACGGCATTCAGGCTGTACAACGAAGCTGTGGGATTCGTTGCCCGCCCAGGCTGGGAACAGCTGAATGCTGGCATGGACAGAAAGAAGTTCAAAAGAACTGTCAAGCACATCTTGGGACCCCGCAACGCGCGACGCCCGTCCAACCTGCCTAGTCGTGCTCGCTTTGTCTGAGCCAATGGGCTGCACGTTAGACGATCGTATGTGCAGGGCACGAGCAACGGAAGCGACTCAGCCGTAAGACTGCTGAAAGCGCTGCAGTGCGCGCCCTGAAGCATCGAGGCCGAAGAGCGTTGAACCCCAGGAAGTCGAGTCGCCTTCGAAGCAAAAGGCTTTCGAGAGATCTTCGACTCCGGCTCTGAGGCTTTCGCCACTTCGATCCTGTCACAGGCGGTGCGTGAGCTCTTCCGCCACCGTGCTGACAGCTACCCAGCTACCCCTTCCTTCGCACGCAGAAGGCGCTCAAAGGTTGTAACTTCCTCGCCCAAACTTCGATCACAAAACAGCAGAACTGCAGAACAGTTGCAAAACCTCAGGCCCTGGCAGAGGTAGCGATAGCTTCCCTAAGACACGCCTCGGCAGGTGGAATCAGCAACATGGATATGCACTGTCTCTCTTTGTCTTCATGTGCGTTCGATGCCACTGCGCATTCTGACAGCCGCGATGCAATGGGTCAGTTGCAAATCGTGTGAACCGCCGGGACTGAGACCTGCAATGCCTTCGCATCAAACTCCGACGCCTCAGAAGCTGGTGAATAGTTCGACAGGGCTTGAAGGATTCATCAACTTATCTGGACTTAAACCAGGACAAGCTACAAAACTAGCGACATCCGTGCACGGCCGCGGAATGCGAAGCTCCAGCTGGCTTGCTGAGACCCGTTCCACATCAGGCGAATCTTGCTCATCCTGTGCTTGCTTTTGCTGTTGCGGAGGGGCGGAGAGAGTGGGCTCCAGAGACAGGGCCTGCACGAAAGGCAAGCTTATCCTCACAGTGATGCAACGAAGTGCGCGAACTTTTCAGCTCGTTCATCTGGCAAAATCGGCTTCTGATTGTCCCTGGCTGAGGCACTCCCCGCAGCCAGCATCAAACAGCCTTTTGAAGTCACCCGCTCTCTCTCAGGCCAAATGTGTCCGTGACTCTTCTGCATTCTGACGAAGGCTCTGCATTAAACCAACAGTGAGCGGGGATTCCAAGCGCGGCCGTTGTCACAATGACTGCCGGGTTTGCCATGCACAAGCACAGCTGCCCAATTTGCCACCCTTCCGAAGCAGCCACCCCTCAACGCGACATCCGCCAGAGTGGTTGATCAATTTACATATAGGGTTTGCGGTAGATTTTGCAAGGCATTATCAATGGCTCGGACTTAGAACGATGCATTGCAAGCCCGAGCTGTACAACGTCTCGCGGCTCTTGCATCTTCTCGAGCCCTGGGGCCCTTCTATTTGGCACCTTTGCTCGCCAAGAAGTCTGCATACTGCACGTCATACAGCGTCGTGTGTTCGTGGAATTCCTGCAAGATGCTTAAGCGGGCTCAGGCTGGCAGCAGGTAGTGCATTCAACATGTCGCAGCCGCTTCTGATCCACTGGCCGCAAGTATCAACAGGGCAGGCTTGCCTGCAGAAGCTCTCGCACAAAAGGGGCTGGAACAGATGGACCACGAGAGAGCTGCTTGCGAACCTGCAGTTCTGTCCACGGTCGCACGATGGTTGGCATCGGGCTGAGTTTAATGCGAAGCCTTGTCGAGCAGCCGCCGATGCTCGTTGGCGTGGCTCGTCTTCGCAGACAACTTCTCCTAAATGGCAGAGAGGAGCCGCCGTTTCGGTTTGAGGCCAGTCGCCCCTGAGCTCGGCACATTCGCGTGCACTCCAAAGCCGTGCTCCTCGAACAAAGCTTCCTGCCAGGAGTTTCGCGGCAAATCTACTCAAATGTCAATGAACAACATGGGGTCCAGCACTCCCTCAAACAGTTTTACAATGTTTTACATCACTCCTCGTGAGCGAAATGGTCCGACAAGCATCTAAGAACCTCCTCGCAGGGAGCCAGGGAGGGTATGCCAGGGGTGTTGAAACCGGCAAACGCTTCCAGCGCCTCGAGCACCTCTCGGGACCTGGCACTTGACACACATTGAGACCCACTGCGTGCATTTTTGAATAACAATGCAAATTGCGATGTGTCTCTTTCGGGTTTCCGGAGCTGGAGCGATACAGCTGACATTCTCGAAAGCTGGAGGAGGTGGTCCCGCCTTGTCTCAACAAGGCGTCGCAAGGCCACGGCGCACTCTTCATGCTCAGAGTCCATGGATGCCACCTGCCACAGATTTTGTCGGAGGCAGCAAGCCTCGACCAAGCGACTACGGAATGAAATTGGCCTTCACGCTAATCAGGTCCAGAGCTTGACTGACAAAGGACGGGTCAATCTTGCACCTGAGACCGACTGCTTGACTGTCGTTCAATCTGGCGTCCTGGGCATCGGACTCGGCCCGATCGCAGTTGCTTGGATCGCATTCGGTGCCTGCCACTGTGAGGTGACAGTTCTCGCAAACTTCCGCTTGCGCTGCACCAAGGTCACGCCTGCGTTGTTGTAGCCAGCTTCGCAGCCCATTCCTGGTTTGCAGGTGCCTCCGTTGCAGCTGCCACAGTCCTCCGCCTGACAGCTGGGTCGAAAAGCCTTGGACGTTGAGGCTCCGAGGCCCGAGGTCCTGTTGGCAGGCCTTGCTGGCGCTCGTGCTGCAACCTGGCGGGAGTTAGGCTGAGAAAGGCTGGCTGGCTGGCTTCTGCCCTTGCCCCCACACACCTTGGCCGCAGGTGCCGCTGCTGCAAGTCTGCATGCTCTCCTCGTCCATGGGCTCCAAACGCTCAACCTGAAGGGAGCCACTCTCCAAAGCCTCGACGGCAAGGCCGCAAGGCCCAAAGGCCCGAAAGGCCCAGACTGACGAGCGTGGAACGGCAATCACTTTTCCCTGCAGCGGCCCATCCTTGGCTCTCTCCGGTTTATGCGTCATGCAGAGCTCGCCTGAGTGTTGAAGGGTCATGTGGCAGTACAAGCTGTCAGCCATGCTTGCTGGCGCTATCGGGGAGCGGGAGAGAAAGACATGGAGAGACAGAGGGAGAGAGAGGGAGAGGGCAAACCGGCAGGCAGGCAGGGAGGGGAAGGAGGCGGGCAGGGGTGCAGCGGAGCACAACCGATTGTCAGTGACGAATGTAAAAAATGAGCTGCTCACCATAAAGCCAAAGTCGACCTGCTTAAGATGGGTATGGATTGCACATCCACGTTGACCGATCCAACAGCAGTTTCCTGCCTTGTCACCCTCTGCTCGCGTACAAATCCCCCTGAGAAGCTACTGAACAAAACTGGAAGTCTCGGCGCAGTCGGTTCGAGCGGTGGGGTGCCGTCCTGTAGCCTTGGAGTTTTTCCAGTCCCGCTGGTGCTTTGACCAGTTGCACTTCTTCGCCAGGACCTGACTTTGTATGAAACAGTGGGACTCAACTACAGCATACATCCTCGCAGATTACATCATACCCGGTCTCAGATCACCACAGAGGTCTGGCAGAGGCAGGTTCTTGCACACAGAGTTCAGCAACGCCTGCGCCACGTGAAACTCATCCGCAACTGAACAGGTCAAAACATGTCAAAACAGTTTCCCACTGTCTCGTCAGACAGCAGAGCAGCAGAGCACTTTCAGTGAGCTCTATCTTCTCTCGAAGCTCAGACTAAGCTCCGCATCTGCCTGGAGGACACTAAAAAGACTTAGCATTGGCAGCATGTCCTAAAGGCCTCCGCAGCTCCGTGAGATGTGCCTTTCTTTATCTTTGTTCTCGAGATTTCGCTCGGCAATCCTTCGACTCCGATCCCGTTCCGTGCTGCCTCCACGTGCTGGAACGCCAACGCACGGACCTGCTAAATCGGCCAAATCGAAAAGAAACTACACTTCTTCTGTCTCCATGACACCATGGCCTGCATAAAGGGAGATGTACCCTCAGAGACGACCTTGTGCCTTGGGACGTTTTCGGACTTCGGCCCGGTGTGGTACACATCAAACGCAGGCTTACCAGGGCTGAATTCCTAAGGGAGCTACTCCTTGTCCAGGATAATGAAACCCTGACAGCCCAGCTGCCCGTACCTGCCATGACGGTTGCCATGAGCGCGTTGCATGGCGTGCCACGGATCACAATGCTCTGAAGGTCACGTGGGCATGTCTCGAGCTGACTCCACGAAGCCATTAACCTCAGCGGTAACGAGTGAAAGCCGCTGAGTTGCTTCCCTTGTGAGTCACGGAGGCCACGGCACAGTGCGTAAGCTTCATCTGATTGCTCATCTCCTGTGAAAGCTCAAATGACTTGACGCCTTTCTTGTTTTGTTGCGCAAAGCCATGCCTTGCACAAGCCATACGCAGAGCGGTCTCCCAGCACCTCATTCACTCATTCATGAATGTCGCATTTGTGCAAGGCAGGAAACGCATTTCTCAAGGCATTAGGTTGCTTTGGCTGGAGGCTGGAGCCTCCCGGGGTTCGGCAGCTGTCCCAGGCAAGATTGAGATTCTGTCCATTCGACAAACACTTGGTCCCTGGCACAAATGCAAAGGAAGTTACAGTCAAAAATGCCCTCGGCCTCAGACTGCACGGATAGGCAGCTTTGGAAAAAACATCCCACCAGGGCCCCTGGGGGTGCGTGCAGCCCAGGAGTTCATCTGCTGCGCACAGGGCCAACATCCGCCTGCCGCATGAGGCGACGATGGAAAGACTCGAACAGCCATGCAAGCAACGCAAGCAAGCCTCAGGAGGTGTAGAAGTGAATCACGGTCGGCTTGCCCTTGTAGTCACACCTGCCAGCTGCAAATACCATGGCCACTGGACATAGCTGATTTCGCATTCAAAGAGGCATTCCGAGGGCCATGCAAAGACACTTTTTTCTGCAGTGGCTTTGCCTGGCTTTCTCGGCTGAGCATCAGGCTGTAAGCCTGGGGATGTAGCTTGGAAGATCACATGTCCGTGCCTCGGGGTAAGGGGAAACCAGCTCGAAAGAGACCTCGCATAATAAACAGGGGACGACCCTCCGTATTCCGGGACACAGCAGCGCTTTCATGCTGTGCCATCACCGATGGCTGCTAGCTCGACAGATGAGACGCCTCTGGTGCGCCAGCCGCGGCCATAGCCCGCCGAGCCTGTCCGATGCCACTTCACGCTCAAAACATTGGGAGCAGAGTTTCGATGCCTGAGCTGAATTCGAAAGCCTCCGAGGGCCTAGCATCAGCCGTGAAGCTTTGTACATCTGACCGGTTGCAACACGGCTCTCCAGAACTGCCACCAAGCAGCAAACAGCCGAGAGACGATTTCCCATATGCTTGCACAGTTCTTTGAGCCGCAGGGTAGTAGATGTAGGCATGGTGGCTCAACTTGTTTGAATCATACAAACCATGGTTCGGCAATTACACTAGAGCCCTCCCCCACGCAGCGTCACGTCTGCAACAAGCACTGGCGTCCTCGTCCAAAGCTTGTGAAAGAAGACTCTTTTTGGCCTGGCGAGTTGTCTGGCATTCGGTCTCGCATCTGGATACGTGGAGCGAAGAGTGGAAACACCCGCTTGAAAGTGAGGCAGCTACAGTCACAAAGACCCATCCTCCATAAGCCATGTACTGAATGCCTCATGAACAGGAGTTCCTGCCCGGGTCCGGCTGACCCAGACATCTCCTACAAAAGTTGTGCAGTGCCACCTCGGTTGTGTGGGACGAAAAACGTTTGACTTACTTTCTGAAATAGCCAGAGCCACCTCCTCCAGCTGCTTGGGGTCCCTCTTGTCGACGGGTCTCGAACTGGCACATCCGGATCTCTGCGACTTTGTTTTACCACTCTGGCTGTTGGACATCAGAACCTGGATGCTTCTTGAATCTTGGGCGCGAGGAGTTGCAAGAAGCTCGACCTAGCGGTTGCCACCCAACTTCGCAGAAGCCAAATGCAAAGACAGTGCTTCCTCTGCCGTCCAACTACTGTAGTCTGCGGGCATGCCGGCCCGGCCTTTGCGGGTCGTCCACTGGAACGAAGTCTCGGGCTAGCTTCCCCGCTGCACTGAGCCTGCTTGTCGTGAGGGAGTGCCAAACTACATGCCGCACGCCCTTTGCAGTGCTTCAGCCTGACCTGGTCGGATCGGCATTTTGCTCGAGGAGCAGGTGGCAAAGTGCAGAGTCTCCGCCACAGGCAGCCTCCGGTGTCGATGGAGAGGGCGTGCGAATTGGACATGCGCTGGGAGGCGGTGAGAGACTTGGAGTTTGTTTTACCTTTTCACCGGAGTGCTATTTCTCTGACATGAGTGGGAGAAGTCGCTTCAGGCCAAATACTTCTATACATCTGCCGTCGCCTCCATCAACGCTGTCTCCCCGGTCAGGTCATCTGCGGTGTCTGGGTCTGCCCGAGCCTGGTGATTAGTCTTTTTGCATCTGTCCGCATGACATGCAGAGTCCAGAAGGCAAGTGAGGAAGGCAACATAGGCTCGCTTTGCACAGCTGAGTCTGAGTGACTCCATGCTTCTCCACAAGTACTGTACTGTCAGCTGCGCATTCTGCGCATGTCCTGACCGGAGGAACTGCGCCTGCCCATCTGTCCCTGGTGGCACGACCCAGTTACACTGCCCACCTATTGTCACTTCACATATGCTGTAGATGTAGCCGAGACCCCCAAGGCTCAGATCTTCTACTTTTGCACTGACAGGATCTCTGGCTAGTGCTAAGTGAAACCACCGAAGAATCAATTATCGTGCATCGCCGCACGAAGAAAGGACTGGTAATTCTCAGCTCATGTCTGCGGACCTCACAAAAAACACCCAGTGTTTCATGTGGCTGTCTGTATTGCGGGATGCATAGCAACGGATGTGCTCGAGGGCAATCTGTCCAGCAATGCTCCAGCCTTCCGGCACAGCCGTAGCGACGAGCTGCGCCGGCTGCTGCTCTAGCCCGGCCTGTCATTAGCCATTCTGCGAACACTGCCGTGGCGCAATGAAGCACATGGCTAGATGAAAAAGAAGGCTAGGGGAGTGCACACATGTGCAAGAAGCTTCCCAGCGCAAGTTGGCTCCCGCAAAGGTGTGGCTTTCGACCACTTCTGCGAAAATGCAAGATCGACGGGAAGCTGCCTCCACGGCACCTGTTCAGGCCGTGCAAAGCACTGCAACTGTTGTCTGTATGCACTGAAAACACTTCATTCGCCCACCTCCGGCTGTCTCGGCCTGTCGGCGCCTGGAAAGCAGCATCGCCGTCAGCTTGGACGCACCAATTTGGTTCGCAGGTGAAGTAAACCTTGCAGATGCACAGTGTTTCTGCCGGAGTTCGCACTTATGGTGTTCAGACCCTGAATGGCCTGCACGCACTGACTCAGCTTTGCGGAACTGGCCCCTATATTCTTGTCGTTTCTGCATGTCGATGAATCTTGCAGCTACCGGTCGGGCATGTTTTCCGGCAGCATCTCTGGAATTCCGATTTAAAGGTTTTAATCTCCCCATTCTATACGGCAAGCAGAAGTGGGAAATTCCAAGCTCTCTTGCGTCAGCTCCTGGTTGGAGCCGAACGGAGCTGCTGCAGCGGACTACACCCCCCCCCCCCCCCCCCCCTCCGGCCCCAAAGCACGACTGTCAAACTTCACTTCTGCTCTAGATTTCAGGCTTTCTTCCAAACAACCACAGCAGAGCTGGAGCCAGGCCTAAGCCTGGCAGAGCATAGGCGGGAATCCACACATTCGAACCTCCCCTCATCCTGCCCCCCGCCCCTGCTCCTGCCCTGCTCCCCTTCACCTCTTTCCTTCGCTTCCTTCTTTCTCCGTCTTGAGCCTCACAAGAATAAGCCACACCTCCGGCTCGAGGTGGAGGATGAGGTTCAGTGTAGCGCGCGGGATTTTTAGGGTTTAGCGAGGCTGCCACTGAAGGGAGATTCTACTTTTTCGAGTGTTGTTTGCATCTACAGCATCTCCTGAACAAGAAAAACCATCCTATCCAAGTCAGAGAGTCGTGAAGGGCCTTCAGACTTCAAACATTTGCCCACACCGTGCTCACTTGGCTGGGCCGAGGCGGACGGCGCGAAGCGTTTGCAATAGAGGCCTAATGCAACAACATACAACATCATCTTTTCTGGCCGTGCAAACCCCTTCAACTGAGCATCGCCGTCATGGCAGACTAGGGCTTCAGACAGCAACCAGGATGCCTGAATAGCCAAATGACACCCCTCGAACAGAAAGCAAGCGCTTGAAGGTTGAGATTTCGAACATGCACGCACTCAAAGACTTCCAAGCCCTAAAGCCAAAACCTCAAAACCATCAATCCAGGATTATCAAAAAAAAAAGCCTTAAACCCAAAAGCCCTCCCTGGCCCTGAAAGCCTTAAACACACAAGCCAGCAGATGTCTCTCGTAACGCGACATGCATGTCTGTGTGTATGTACGTAAGGGCTCAGGAACACCTTTAGGTGAGGATAGCCGGCAGCCCCAGTGGTACAAAGCCACGACATCGCCCGCTTGGCATCGAGCCCAGCGCAAACAAAGAGCGCGACTCCGCCGACGTGTGCGGCAGCGACGGCAGCTCGGACTGCCACTTCGTGATAAAGATACCCAGGTGCTTGAGAAGCACCACTCGAAGCCACGATACCGACGAGACTACACCGGCGCCATGGGGCGTGGCGGCAAAGGGCAAGGGCGTGCCTCTGGTGGGCAGCAGGACTATGGTGGCTATCGGCTGTGGAAGGGCGCCTATTCCCCGTCCCAACGACCGTGGCGGAACAACCAGCCCGAGGAGACTTGGCATGGCAAGCACGCCTTTCCATCGTACACAGCCATGCCACGCCCGACGCCCAAGGAGACGCACACCCACGCTGCAATACCGGAGTTGAGTGTGCAAGGGAGCATGGTCCACGATCTGCAGGAACTGCTGAATGGTGCAAGGCGTGCAGAGCAGAAGGTGGCCAGGATTGTGCAGGCCAGGGACCGGGAACAGTCCCAGCATCAGGAATTCCAGAAGCAGATGAAGGAGTCGTTCCTGAAGGAGAAGCAACGGTTTGCGAAGTCCGAGGCCCGCTTCGAGAAGGACATCGCGGATGCAGTGGAAGAGCAAAATCGTGCCCGTATGCTTGTGAGAAGTGCCTACCTTGGCATCGAAGCGATCCCGGTGGAAAGAGCACCAAGAGGCAGACTCACGAGAGAAGAGGCGGACCTGGCCTGGGACCAAGCACGCGAGGCATGGGAGAAAGACGAGGGAAGCACTATGGACGGTGTTTTCAAGAGAGCCATGGAGCCCGGCCTTCCTCATGGTGACCACGTCTCAGCTGGCGGAACCGGAATGCGACCGGAGATGCGATCAATGGTCAACTCTGTGGACACTGCGTGGGAGGCGGCGCGCAGTGCAGGAGCACACGACCACACCAGAGCGGACCCGATGGAGATCTACCCGAAGCTGGAGAGCCGGTGCCGAGCGATGGAGACGATCTCAAATCGAGTGCAGCCGCGGCCGCCCCCAATGCAGGGCAGGCTCCCTCAGGAGCCCTGAACACTGCAGAGAAGGTTCGCCCGTCACCGAAGCACACCGCGAAGCGAGATGGTGGAACGCGTGTGCCCGCCCATCAGCAGCCTCCCCGCGACGGCATCAAAGAAGCCAGCAAGCATGCGCCGTCCTCTGCCGAGCAGGCTCACGGCTTGTCCCTCGGGGAACGGCTCGAAGAAAAACGCCGAGCAATGATGCCGTTCCATGGTCAGGGGCAACACAGTCGACCTCCAGCCGAACCTCCGAAAGAGATGCGACCAGTGGAGGAAAAAGCACTTCCACACAGCCCTGGACTTGCCAAACTGGATGTGTGGCGCCCCTTTTGAGGCTCCCGGAGACCAGTCAGTTCTTTCCTGCATGGAAGACTCTGGTTGGCCCAGGAGGCTGGAGAGCAGACAGCCACATGGGGCCGGCTGATCTGCTTTCCGCTTCCTTGCTGCCGGTCGGAGGGAACTTTCTGTATGAGACAATTGACTTGGTCATCCCCGAGCCTCCGCCCATGGTGGACAAAGTGAAGGCTGTACAAATCTGCTTTAGGAAGCTGTACAGGATTGCTATGTACATGTCTTTCCTAGGGGGCTCCCAGGGTTGTGAGACTAATGGTGCATCCTTTGTTGCCTGTGCCTGCCTTTCGCCCAATCCTCGGTCCTTTTGCAACCATGCTTTCCAGCCCCGCATGATCTCGATTTTGATGAGGCTAAGGTGAGTGCGCGTCACATGGCTTGTGACGGTTCCTCCTTGCTGCCTCTTTTGTCCTCCGCTGGTGATCAGCCGCACTGGGCTTGTGTGTGCTGGTCGTCGGCCCTGCCCGCATGCTTGTCAAATGACCTTGCCCACCCCAACCCTAGGTGGTTTTGGGGTTTAGGCCTCACCCATAGTGGTTGCAAGGAGCGCGAAAGAGACACATCCGTCGCTGTGGGGTGTCCGCCCATGCTTCCACTAGAAGACCTGCCTGCCGCACATAACTGTGATGTGTTGGCCCCTCGTCGCAGCGCGATTGACTCGATCTCTCGCCGGGTGCAGTCCCTGGCTTCTTGCAGGATGATGATGACCAGAGGATGCGCCTCACATATGGCATCCCGTGCTGCTCTCTGTGGCATAGGGGTTGCCTTGGTGTGCTGCTGGCTCATGTGTACAACGGACTTACATGCTCTCCTGTCCTCCATGATAGCTTGCAAGGCCACCACCGTGGGCCACTCGACGGGGCTAGGCGGCTGGACCCCACTGTGCAGAGCTTTCTTGCCATCACTGGGAAGCTTTAGGAAAAGCCCTCTGCTGTGCCATTCTTGCTGTTGGCCATGTGAACAGCCAACTAAAAGGAGAGTGTAGTCCGGAGATTTGGCTCACGTGGGCGACCTGCCAAGCACAAGCTGCGGGTATGACGGCACTGCTTGCACTCACACTACACCTCTTAGATATGATGTACTCCGGCCTCATGCCCCGCCGTGGCATGCCCAGGCTTCCCAGGCACCTGACAGGACGAGGGCGGTCGCACTGCTCGGCCGCTGCCTTTGGCAGGACCTACTGGCGCGCTAACACCTCAGACTGTGACCCCCAGCTTGTCTGCGCTTGCTCTTGGTGTGCATTGTGCACCAGAGGTGCTACAAGAGCGGCTACTTCATCCACTACGACCTTGGGCGGGAAGCCGGACGGCAAAATTAGATCAGGAGCCGACCTCTCATACCCCTGCTGAACGCGCCCAATTGGAGCGTGCTCGTGACCACCATCTCGGCACTCTTAGGCCCTGGCCTACGGTTTTAGCGTCTGATGATTTTGCTTTGTGGGATGACACATCCGCTGCCCTCGAAGCCGAGATCGACGAGCCTGGATGTGATCTGGTTTGCTGGCTTCTCTCTGTTGGACATGCCATTGAAGAAGTCGAAATCCGTCTCTCAGCACCTTCGAATTTTGATCATTTGATTGCCCGCGTTTTTGAAAACAGGGACCCAGTCAACAGCAGAGTGTATCCTCTCTTGAAGGCGGTTGAGCCTCAACCTGCCGATGCCCACCTGATTTTGTTCTCCCTCCCAGGTTGGGCAAATGAGGAACGTCTCGCATGTTTCGACTTGACGGAAGTCGATGGCAGGCTATATGCCGACTTGGTTCCTTACTCGGCCTCCAAGTCCCTGATCCTCCGCCTAGCCGGGTTGAGCGAGGGCCCGGCTGTCGATGTGTATGTCGGCAGCAGCCCGGCTGCAATGCTACCCGATGAAGAAGTGGAGTTGCAAGTTGGTGTTTGTCTGTTTTTGTGCCCGCACATGAGCTGCCGGGCCCATACTACGGGCTCCCTGAGATCCTCCACGACAGCAGTAGCTGGCAGGCCCAGGTTGAGCTCCCTGTTTACGAAGGCGGTCCCAGCATGTGTGTAGTGCATGACAGTGGGCATCGCTGCATTAGCTTTGCTGATGACGACAGCTATGGAGACGTCGCAACCATTGCAGCCTCCTTTGGCTTGAACCCAGCAACCATGCTCACCAGCCGAGTTCACCCTGTGCTACATGATGTTGCGCTTGAGGGGCGCCCTTGCAGTGATGTGCTTGTGGTTTCTGCTCCTGAAGACCCCTCCACGAGCGCATTCAACGATGCGCTCACACTTGCAACTGTAGACTGTCGCGCCCTGCTCCAAGGGTGGTTCGCTGTCATTGCCACGTCAGGCCGAACTCCTCGAGTTGAGGTTGAGGAAGTCCTGTCGACTTTTGCCCCTGCTGGCTGGAAGCTGCATGTTGAGAAGTTCCCCCACAAAGGCGACGACGACGCTGAAGCCGCCGCATCCGATCACTTTGAAAGTGACGCGCCCCTTGAGCCCTCCCGCAACGCTCGGAGGAGCCGCAGCCGGTCCCCTCGGCGAGAAGGAGAAGGGAGCAATGGCGCTGCGGATGAACCAGCTAGCAGCCTTGGCAGCCCTGACGCCAGGCCTTTCGCAACAGCGACATTTTTTGTCTTTGCCCCGGAGTACGCTCCTGAGACCGTCCATGTGCCGAATCCGCCTAGCGCCTCGCTAGCTAACACCCTGGAAATGCATGGTAGCAAGCCGTAGAGAGAGATACGCTGCGCTGCGCTTTCCAGTCCTCATACCGGCCGAACCTCAACCGAGCATGGACTACGGAGTGTGCCTCGCCGTTCCTGCCTGGAACCGAGACGTGTTCATTATTGTCGACGCCCTTCGAATGGGAGGGACTGTCTTTTGTGAGTCCATCACACCTCCCTTCGACAGAGACAAAAAAATTCTGGCTGTTGCAGGGTACCCTCCAGTCCCTACCATTGAAGTGTATGTGCCTGGCAGCCCTTCACCCCTGCAGGAGCGACAACATGCTGAGCTCCATGCCGGAGATTGCATTTCCCTGGTTTTGGTCACGGCTGCCCCTTTTGTTGTGTCATCCTTGACCGATAGGCTGCAGGATCCTTCAGGCTGGCGCCAAGACCCAGCGCTCCCTGTGCGTCGGGGAAGGTGGCTTCACTTGCTAACCGCCGAAGGAGACTCACGAATACCCTTTGATCCTGCCAGAAGGCGGTTTATTCGCGAAGACATTGCCCGGCACCTTGAGTTGGAAACCCAGTTTTTCCGTTTGCAGGTCGCCAGACCTCCCCTGCCTGATTCGTATGCCTACGGCATGCTCATGCACAACGTCATCATTGTTGACACGCTAGAAGCAGAAGCTGGCAACCCCCGACCTGTTCTATATATCCTTGACCTGCGGCCCTTGACTTGTGGTCTCACATGGAGACGGGCAGAGCGTGGACTCTTGTCATCAGCTGAGCTGACTGAGCTGACCCGACGAAGCCAGCCTCATTGCCCACCGGGGTTCTATGTCACGGTTGTTGGTGGTACGCCAGTGACTGGTGACCCCGAGTTTGATCTTTGTGTTCAGCCCGGCGAGGTCATAGCTGTTGAGTTTGTTGCTTTGCCAGCTGACTCGGTGATTGCTCAGCACGACCGTTCTGACAGCTCCGACTCAGATTCTAGCTCCAGCACTGATTCCGAGGACGCGGACTCCTCTGGAGACGACGACAGTGGCCATGATAGCCCTCTCGCGCCGCAACCGCAAGCGGCGCTGCAGCGCACGGCACGACAGAGACTCCAAAGAGCCTGAATGTATTGACCATGAGGTTGATTGCCAGAATGATGCTAAGGCACGACGCGGACGTGTCACACATGCCTACGAGGAGGTGTATAGTTCCAGTAGAGTAGTCAAGTGGGTGTGGCAGTTTTTTCTGATGCCCACCCCTGTCCTCCTGACTCACACCCCTCGCAGCAGCCCTCCACTTGCCGTGATTCCCTGCCCTGCGAGGCGGTTCTACGGCTTTTGAAAGGGAGATGCCAATGGCTTAGTGTTTTTGTCCTGCTGGCTCTGGCATGCAATTTGACAGGCGCACAGGCCGTGCAAATCAGGCACGAGAAGCCCCCGACATCTGAGTGCCAAAACCCCGACAATGCCCATGCCCTACGCCCCTTGACCACGCCGTGCCGAGTTGGGACCGGCCGGGCTCCCCTCTGCTTGCCAAGCCACGTGTGTGCATGACGGGGTCACAATGGCGAAGGATGCGCTGACATCTCTGTGCTTACCGTCTCTGACTCTGCACCCGAAGATCTGTGCACCTTGCTTGAGCAGAGCGTTACCAGCAGCATGACCTACCTCTTTTTCATGCTTGGACACTCCTTGAAGCGCTGAGTGAGCATAACGCAAGCGCTGCTCCCACCTCCGCTTCAGCTGGGCAACAGGGTGGAGACCCCACGGCGTACCATTGCACTGCAGAAGGCAGGACCACCATCTCCCTGACAGAGCTGCTGCCTGAAGCTCCTGCAGATCATGGCAACTTCCCCCCTTTTCAGCGCTTTGACTGTCGAGTGTGGTGTCCTGCCCACCTCCTTGCCCAGCCCTTGCATATTGGGCGTACCCCTCTTGGATTCTCCCTGGCTGAGGTGCAAAATCTCCTAGGGGCACCTCCTCTGTGGACCGATTGGGCATCGGCTCGAGGCGCTCTGACAGGAACCCTTGGAGGCTGGGCTGCTGCCTTTGACGAATACGTTCTCGCATCAGACTGTGCTGGTCTACACCGACGGTTCTTACACACCGAGCACGCCCAACCAGCCGTGCATCCTTGTTCATCCTGCCACGCGCAGTGCGCGCTGTTCTTGGGGTCAAGTTGGGCGAGAATGGTTTGCTAACCTTCAGGTTACCGAAGAGGGGTCAGCCTTCGACGCGGAATGCGCTGCACTTCTTGCCGCCGGCTTGATCAGTCTGTCTGCGCTTGGGAGCGCTCATGTACACACCTTCTCCGACTGCCAAGCCGCCATCCAAATTGCTGCTGGTCAGGCCGAAGGGAACCCTGGCACGCCAGCCTCTGCTGCTGCCGCGCTACACGCCCTGCGCAGGCGACTGGCCTGGCCTCACGAATTACGAGTATGTGCCAGGCCATCAGGGATGTGCTCCCAGTGAAATTGCTGATGCATTCTCCAAGCTTGGAGCTCGAAGCCACCATGTGTCCTGCGGCACTGCTGCCGAGGCCGCCACATGTGCGAGATGGCTTGGGGCAGCCCAAGCCCACCTGCCTTGGATTGCCGTCGCTGTATGCAGTTTGGCCGGAGACCTGTCCTTGCCACCGCTCAATCAAGAGGATCTGGGACATGATCATGATCATGCCGGCCTGACTGCAGATGACATGTTGAGACCATTCGTTCCAGCCGGCATGGCTTTGCCATCAGCTGATCCCGGCCAGCCAAATTGTCAAACCGAAGAGGGCCTAGCTGCTGCCAGAGATGCCCCGCATCCTAAGCCCATACACAAACTGCACCTCCGCGTGGTGACTTTCAATGTACTCTCCCTTTGCGATCCTGCTGGTCGTGGACCGGATGCTGCTGTTGGCCTCCACTTCCAGCCAGGGCGAGCAGCCATTTTAGCCCACCAGCTCGATCAAGCAGGGGTGCATGTTGCTTTCCTTCAGGAAACACGACCTCCACCAGGCGCTACCAAGTGTGGACCGTACTCGCGATTTGTTTGTGGGGATGTTAGGGGACAGTGGGGATGCGAAATCTGGATCCGTGAAGGGCATCCCTTTGTCAGCACCAAGTCTGCAGGCTCCTCTATACACCGACTTCTCGCACATCGTGTCACCACCTTCCTGGCTGAGTCGAGACGTCTCTTCCTCCGTCTCTCTGCCGGAACCCACAGGCTCCTTCTGGTGTCCCTTCACAGCCCTCACCGAGCATGTGAGCGAGAGCAGATTGATGAATGGTGGGAGGAAACCAATCGGCACATACGCCACCTATGCAATGGGGACAGCCTGATAGTTGCTGGTGACCTGAATGCGAGTCTGGGCAGCCGGACTTCACCAGCCGTCGGGCCACTCGCCTTGGAACCTGAGGACCTTGCTGGAAGCAAAGCCCATGACATGGCCACCATGACGGAGCTCTGGGCTCCCTGCACGTTTGAGTCTTGTCATACTGGCCCCTCGCACACATACACCCAGAAAAAGAGTCATGCCCTGCTTCGTCCGGACTACGTGTTTATACCACAGTCTTGGAAGGCAGGGCGAGTTACTTCTTGGACAGCCCCTGATCTCCACGCCGGTCACACCGCTCAAGATCACATCGCATCCTGCATTGAGGTTGTCCTGGCCTTTGCCTCAACCGATTCAGCCGAACCCACCAGATCAGGATGCCTACGACCCGAGGCCATCCGCAATGCCGCCTATAGTGGCAAGCTCCAAGCTATCATTGGCAGTGTTCCGCGAGTTCCTTGGCGCACTTCAGCGCACGCACATGCTGCCATTCTGACGGAGCACATACAGAAGGGCCTGCGCGGACTCAGTGTTCAAGGCGCCACCTCACCCAAGCACCCGTACCTTTCTGACACGACTTTTGCCCTTCTGCGTGCGGCATCACGTGTGAGACGCGCCCTGCATGCGCGCCAGCACAATCTGCGTTTGCAGCGCTTAGCCACATGCCTTCAGGTGTGGAAGGAGCGCAGTGCTGACTTTGCAGAGAGGTTCCTAGGGGCCCTTTGGACTCGTCAGACCATGATGCTAATCGGGCAACTTGCCACCGTTGGTAGGGCGCTACGGCAAGCATGCAAGTCCGACCGGAATGCGTACGTTGCCGATCTTGCCGACCGCATTAGTTCTGGGGCCTCTGCTGATGTGTTCCAGCACTACCACCGTTTGTTGGCGCACAAGCGGAAGAAACCCTGTCAGCCCGAACCTCTTCCCTTCGTGCGAGCTGCTCTGCATGACCGCTGCGGCTGCAATGGAGCGCTGGAGGCAGCACTTTGGGGCTCTCGAGGCAGGGGCTGAAATCCCTGGCCCAGAATGCTCTGCAGATACCCGAGACCTCCGGCACCACTGTATGGCCGCACCCTCCAGACATCCTCAGTGCACCCTCTCCAGACCTCCTTCAGTCCACTCTGCGGGCCACCAGAGTGGGCAAGGCCCCCGGCTTCCACCTGATTCCGCCGGAGCTGTGTAAGTGCAAGCGCTGGCTCTCGTCTTACACCCCTTGCTCCTTAAGTTTGTCTGGAGAGGCTGCGAGTCTGTAGGCTGGAAGGCCGGCAAGGCAGTATATTTCTGGAAACGGAAAGGATCCACACAGGAATGTGGGTCGTACAGGGCGGTGTTACTGCTTTCGACCCTGGCAAAGGCCTGCCACAAGAGCCTTCGGCCGCCACTCAAGGCCTGGTTCGAAAGTACTTCGCCGAACCTCCAGCTTGGGGGGCGCTCAGGATGTTCAGTTACATTCGGTGCCCATGTGATCAGCGGGGCCATGAGAGTCGCTGCGACAAGAGGCCAAACAGCTTTTGTCATCTACGCTGACATCGCCACCGCCTTTTATGCCGCGATCACGCAGCTTGTCGCGACAGATGGGGCGACACCGTCTGACGACCTGGTCCGGCGAGCTACCGCCCTGCCCCAAGGCGATGTCGCCGAGCTCCGACAGAGGATGACCAAGCCATCCGCCATGGCGACGGCCCTTGCGGATCCGTGGCTGGAGCGGATTACTGACCGCATGAGCACGGGGAATTGGTTCGCCCTCAAGAACGACGTCGTGCCCATCGCGACTTCGCGAGGAACAAGGCCGGGTTCGTCTTTTGCGGACGTCATATTCGCGCTCTTGGTGCCAAAAGTACTGGCCAGACGGGACGCTGAGCGAGCAGAGCAGGTTGTCCTGAGTGAGGCTCCACAGCTTCCCTGGGACGAGTGTGCTAACTTGGAGCCGTGCAGTGCTAGCGCGTCAACGATACACCTTCGTGACGTGGTGTGGGCAGATGACGTTGCCATACCAAGAGTATGCAGGAGTGCCCATGATGTGCGCCCTGCAGTCGCCTGTGAGACGGGCCTGCTGGCGGACGCCTTGAGCACCCACGGACTCCGCCTTGCTTACGGCACCCACAAAACTGCAGCGGTTGTATCGGTGCGTGGTTGCGGTTCCCGTACTGCCCGCCAGGCGCTGTTCTCTGCTAACCAGGGTGCGGGCAAGGTTTTGGTTTTGCGTGAAAACGGGCCACCTGAGGATTTGCCTCTTGTCTCCAGCTACACCCATTTGGGGGTTGTACGGCAGCCCAGGACCAGAGCTGGCTCACCGTGTGGCACAGGCTCGTTCAGCCTTCCAGGAGGGACGCAGAAAAATCTACAAGAACCGAGGTATTTCTGTTGCCCGCAAAAAACACCTGCTGAATGCCACCGTGATGGCGAAGCTCCTACAAGGAGCCGGAGCATGGCCTCCCCTCAATAACAGGGATCAGCAGACCGTAGACACAGCGGTTTGGACGATGTACCGCAGCATCCTCTGCATCCCCAGGACAGGAGGCAGAGCTTGACAGGGCTTATGTGCTGCGCCGGCTGCGCCCTGACTGGCCTAGCACCACCGGCTGTCCTACTGCGGCGCTGGAGGCTGCTCTACTTGCGCCAGATGGTCAGCTCGGCGCCGCCCGAACTGTGGGCCGTGGTTAAAGCAGACAGACCCTACGCTGATCTGCTTTTGCACGACCTATCCTGGCTTTACTCCTGGATCTGGAGAACGGGCGCTCTACGCGACCCACGTCAGTACTGGTGTGAATGGTCTGAGTCGATACGCGCGAGACCGGGGCTCTTCAAAGGCTACGTCAAGCGCGCTTGCGCGCTTGAACAAACGAGGATTGCCAGTTTGGCGGCCCTAGACGGGCTTTACCGTGGCCTGACCGGCATTGTTGGCACGACGACATCCACGGCCGCGACTCCGGCAGGCTCCGACACGCCTGAGATGTGTCTCCCGTGCAAGAGGGCCTTCAATTGCCGCAAAGCATGGGCTGGACATGCGGCGCGCATGCATGGATATAGATCTGCCGCACATCGCACATGCAGCGGACGACTATGTCTGTCTTGCGGCAAACTGTTCGCCAATCCTGGCAGACTCAAGAGGCACCTCATTAGTGTGCCGGCCTGCGTAGCTGGATGGGGCTCATTCACCCCGCGAACAGACTGCCCCGATGCAGATGAACATGTGCAAGCGCCACCTCGACTGGTGGCCGGCTCCTTCGAGACTACTGGGCCAATTCCAGGCGACACTGAGATAGATAATGATCTATTGGCGACCCTGCAGCGAGCAAGCTTGGATGAGGTGGCCCTGTGGAACATCATCCAAGCGCACATTGATTGCACCTCTAGCCCATCTGCGAGCCACGATTTTGGCTTGGAGGGGAGTGCTCCCCTCTGCACCCAAATCCGAGCTAGCGGAAAACTTCCTGCTCCTGCTTGACCCACAGGTGACTGCCGAGGAATTCCCAGCCGAAAAGCCAGCTGTGAGCGGCAGTCCGTATGCTGAACCGACTTGGCAGACGATGTGTGGACTCCCAATGGCCTGCTCAGGAGTGAGGCGCGTCTGGCGGGTACTGCCGCCCCCGCCGATTGTCTTCCGCATAGACCAGCCAACCAGTGTCGCCCTACGGGCAGCTAGAGGGCTGCTGGCGTGGGTGGAGGATGTGTGCCGCTGCATCGCTGAGTGCGCTGAGGTTGCGCGCCAGCAGCCAATCTGCCTCACATGCCCTGGACTTTGGAAGCCGATCCCGATTCTGCGTTCCTGGGCTGAGCAGCTTGGATTTCGCTGCCCCGATGATGCCATGCTCAGTCCCTGATGCCCCCCTTGTTTCACCTCTTCTGAATTCACATGCTAGGCGTGTGTCTTTGATAGACTCAACCGCTGCGAATGAACAAAAATGTATGTACGTATGTATTTCTGTATCACACACGCAGCTGTGTGTATGTATATGTGTAATATATGTACACACTATATACACATAGCCAGAGAGAGAGAGAGAGAGAGAGAGAGAGAGAGACAGACAGACAAACATGGAGAGAGGTACGTATCTGAGTGCTTAGTCACTTTTTTGTGTGTATTAATCAATTTCGGAGTACACGTATGAGGTATACAGAGTATACAGTCAAAAGACCAGAGGACCTCCAGACCATAGGACACGGAGACGAGGGGACCAGGAGACCAGGTGATGCGGAAACTGGCCCGTGTCAAAAGAAACACAGCAGAAGCAGCACATCACAAGAACATCACTCATTTTCATCGCCAGGTGACATGTTAGAAACCTGGCCGACATGCCGAGTCATGCTGATCGCTAGTCATGCCTCCGTTCATGCAAGGATCTTTCTGGCCAACTCCTCCAGGACTGCAAGCTCATCCGCTTCCTTCACCTGCAGGCCTAAGTATCACACGTGCCTGTAACGAACGAGCCTTTAGCCCACGTCGCTCAAACATTCGGCTTGCTTGAGCTGGTATGTGCTGTTGCACGCTGCCGAGCTTCCCTCGATCTGTTCAAGCTCTTGCGCCAACATCCTGACAGGACTGTGCTTTGCACGAGGAGGGCCGTTGGCCCTAACAGCATCCGACAGCCCTGCTGTGGTTCAGACATGGTAACACTGATGAAAACTGGGCCAAGTCTCCGTCGTTGCATTGCTCTCATCTTCTGCGGATTCTGTGGCTCGAGTGCCTCGAGAGGAGACAGGCGACGTGCAGATCCGCCATTTGATGTAGACCAGACAGACAACCAACTGCATCTCCGACACATCAGAAATGATGTTATCGGGGAAAGCCGACGGGGCACCGTGAAGCGAGAAAGGACTGGCTTGTCCGCGCCTTGGCTTCGCGCCTGCAGAGGCGCTCCGTGACATCACCTTCGCCTGAGCACGACCGTGCAACCAACTGGGCCATCTCCATTTGACGATGCTGAGCTTGGATTCATTTGAACTTCTTTCCTGCAGCTGGCTGCCGTTCACGCCGTCAGCCCTCCTCAGAGCGAGGGTGCAGCCAAGCATCGTTGGAGCAGCTGTGCTTTGCGGGAAATCCGCGGCCGGAAGCTGGGCTCTTCTGCGTGCCTGGGCAGGTCGTGAATCTACCGCGGCCTTGGGCTGTCACTGAAAGTTAGCCGCCAAGCACTTGCATCTGCATTCTTGACGCCCAAACACTGACGAGTTCCGAAGCGCCTCTCGTGTGTAGACAACAAGGATGCATTGAGCTGCTTAGGCCCTGGAGACAGACGGGACACAGATTCCAAGAAGGTTCATCCAAGACGCGTCTTTCGCCCCTTCTGTCTCTGGTGAACACGGTCATGCCAGGGCTCCCCAGCATCGAGTACGTGTCTGGCAAGTAAGGCGAGTAAGCCAGTACTGTTCATGGTGACATGGCAATGGTGTGCTATTGTGGAATGGCTAGTAGTCACGCAACTCCACACTTCAGCCTGAAGATTGCCTTGCTGCGCTTGTTGATTTTCGGTTGAAAGGTGTGCTCAGCTGCTTCCACTTCCTTCTTGGCATTGACAGACTCTGTCACCTGGAAATCTGCACAAGCAAACTAGGTCATTGGCTTTGTATCGAGCACCTCTGCAGAAAGAGAGATGCGAAATGACGTGAAGGAGCTATGCCTTGCGATTGCGGATCACGGACCGTGTAACGTCTTCTTTTCGGCTCCACGGCGGGGCGTAGCCTCGGAGTCAGCCCACTTATGGCGACAAGCCGTGAAGCAGTGCTCTATCGTGAAAATTCGTCAGACTAGCTGGGTACGTCTTGCACAGGCCTGCTCCAACTAGCTTGCGTGACTCTGCAGTGATGCTGGGCGAGGCCAACATCTGGGTCTCCTGAGCATCACCGCTACTAGCGCTCTTGTACACTCCGCTCTAGCCACCGCTGGTACCGCTCCTGCTCATCCTTTTGCTTTTGTGCAGTTTCCAGTTTGGCTTGCCTCTGCTTTATGAACTCGACGTTGCCTCAGTCCAGTGGCGACATGGGAAGACCCAGCAGCCGTGCGGAAAAGAGTGCAATGAACACTTGCGAAGAATGTCCCAAACATCCAGGCAACGCTCGTATGTTGCCATAGGTGGGCTTTGCGCGCGTGTCGGAGACCTTCAAGAAGCCGAGGTCTCTGATAAGAAGTAACGCTCTTTCCCTGGCCTCTGTTGGCTTCGCGGAGGAGGCCCGAAGAGTGTGTAGTGCGAACCAAGTTGGTGACCCTGCGGCCTGTGAACAACGACAGCAAACTTCAGACACACTTCTGAATCGACTTATGCTTTCGACTCTCGACAAGCGCCAGGCCTTTTGATTGACCACTGTCGATTTGTAGATGGACTGCTTGGTGAGCTGCTGAAGCTGACCGCACCTGTGGATGTAGGACCAACGTCCCAAAGGTGGAAAACCCTGGCTGCAGCGAATTCAACGACCTGGTGATTGTGCCGGCGATGCTTTGGAGCTCTCTGCAGATGTGGTCCTGCAACAGAGGCGGATGAGCAAGTGCTTGATTGATGAAAGTCGGAAGGTTTGTAGCGCCTGCGGATGGAGTTGACATCATTGAGCGCAGCAGACTGTAGCAGCAAGGAGTCAACCTTCTCAGGCAAGCTGACCATATTTGAGGCAGACAGTATTAGAAGCCGCCTGTGCAGAAAGCGTTGTCATGAAGTCCGTCGAAACCATGTCGGTGCGCCGGGTGCGCTGGCTCGACTGCACTTCATCGTGGGTGGTCTCCTCGCCATCCGCGGCACATGTTCGGCTGTACTCAAGCTGCCTTTGTGATCGTAACGTATGTGCGGCCGACCAACCTCCAATGTCTGCAGGACATCGCACGACATGTCAAGTACTAGCCTCTGCTCGCTATCGCGAGTTCTGGCAAGTCCTGCAGCAAGGCCTCTGCCAAGAGAAGTTGCTCTTCGTGGGAATAAGCAGCATCCTGTGTGAATTCGTGACGACAGGAGGATAGCTTATTTTGGCTGAAATCGGCGTGGCCAGTGCACTTCGCGGAAGATCCTGGAGCAGAACAGGCTCTTCTGCAACCATGGCTCGAGCAATCGATACAGACGGCTGAAGGGTGGGGTAGGTAGTGCGTTATATATTCAACTGACATCACCATATTGCATGCTCACATTTCTAAAACAAACGGGAGGACTTGTAGACGCTTTCTCTCCGCTTGCATTACAGTCAATTGAAACATCCAGTAGGGTCAGGAAATCAAATCCCAGGAGACGCTCTGGGGTGCAGGAAAGCCTCTGATCAGAGGGACAGGAAGCTGCAGATGAACAGTACTGAACTGGCCGATTCGTAGACGAGGTGCTTGCAAAGCTCAGTTTGCGATAATTGAATGCCCTGTGGAGGCAAAGGTAGGTAGCCTCCAAAAGGTGGCGCACTGGCAGGAGCCTTCCGTTTCCCAGCTCCTGCATGCATTGCTACTCACTGGCTCTGAGAGGGAAACGATGGGAAACTAAACATCTTGAAGCTGACGCTGCGTCTCCGGACCTGCCTAGCAGACCTTGCAGAGAAGAAGCACTTCCGGTGTGTTTTGTCAGTCCTGTTCAGCTTGCGCGAAGGCTCCTGGCACACGCCAGCCGCCAGATACTTTCTCACTGCGAATTCCAAAACAAGGGACAGGTTGAGCGTGTCAGCGCTGTTTGGCAACGCCGATTTGCGGTTGGCGGTCCCCAGCTTGAGAGGCAATGAGAGGCAGGCCATGAAACACGAAAGCTCATGGCAGTAGTCGTAGCAGCAGCCGGTGCCGGGGTGGTAGTGGTGGTAGAAGTAGTAGTTGTACCAGTACGGGTAGTGGTAGTGGTAGAGTGGTAACCGTAGAGTGGTAGTGGTGGTGGTGGTGGTAGTGCTGGTAGTGGTGGTGGTGGTGGTGTGGCGGTGGTGAGGCAGTGGTAGTACTACAGTCGCAGTCGTAGTCGCAGTCGTAGTCAGTAGTAGCCGTAGCAGTGGGAGTAGGAGTAGGAGTAGGGGGAGGGGTAGGAGTAGGAATATTTGCATTGCCAACGTCTCGCGGAGTACCAGCGTTCGACGAGGGGATCAGGTTTTGCCCGCGACTTAAAGCCGCATCACTCTTTTGGTGATACCCATGCCAACCAAACTACATGGAGGACCATTCGTCTAGTCCATCTGATCTAAATCCACGATTTGTCGACGTCTGCACCGCGTTAGGAGTGGCCATCTGTTGAGTGCTGGTCAGTATTTGCTGGCGAATCTCACAGCTGTGCTTATGCAAAGTGCCCAGAGCACGTCTGCACATAGCACAACAGTGGGTATGACCCGCAGCTACAAGCCTGACACAGGTCGCAGTGAGGCAACAGGCGACCCGGTCACGAAGTGCAGCACGCTGTCTCCGATTACAGCGTTTGCTATGGAATCCATGCCCACATGTCGAACAGCAGAATGCATCGGCTCTTCCACAGCTGCGCACACAGCCTGGCATAGTGCAGCTGGCCATAGACCTGAGGCGAGAGCTGCTGGGAAGGAGTTTGCTTTGGGATGGCATGTTTAGCAAGAGCTGGCACTTCGGCTCGGAAGCTTTTTATGCCTTTGCACAGGCAGAGTGGGCCTCATGAGGCAGTGTGCGTAAGTGTAGCGCCGCGCACGCATCAACGCCGTATGGGCTACGATGCGGGCAACGTCAAAACTGGCGCCTAATCCTTAAGCACACTGGGCAAGCAGTCAAGATGCAGCTGTGGACGAGGCCGCTCGGTACAGGCTTCAGGCAAATCAAAACCCAACTCCGATAGCTGCTCCTGGAGTGGGTGACTCAAAGCATCCCAATGCCGTGGTGTGTATGCCACTAGCAACACTCGATCAAAGGCAGCCCAGGCCCAGGTGCAGTGAAGGCGAGAATTAGCAGCAAAACGAACTGTCTGCATTTGGATTGAAAATCGAAGCCCGGCAGTCAGTCCCCCGGCGTGCTCATGAAACTCTGTGCCGCCTGCACATTCTATCCAAATCTCACCATCATCATGCAATGACAACGATGCCACTATATAGGTTAAGCTCACTGGCATTACCTTTGTCAAGGTGGAGCGGCATGCTGCAATTAAACAGCACACCCGCCGTCGCCCACTTGTGATCTGGACACAGTCGCATGAGCAGAAAATTAAGCAGGCGGGCCGTGTTGGGGTGTCAGCCCCGTAAAAGGGCCTTTGGAGTAAGTCAGACATCAAACAGGCATGTCGAGGCTTCTCACGCTGCAGCAGGCTCGCGACTTGTCGCACCGCGCTCCAAATAGGACAGGAGCCAGACTCAAGGAGGCTTCTGGCCAGGCACTCAGCGGGGCTGATCACGTTCGTGTCAAGCCAGATTGGCGGAGGAAGAAATGGGTGCGCTCTTGATGAAAATGTGGGAGCAAGCTGATCCACATACGCAAGGAATTCCCGGCGCGTTGGATTACGCAGCACTTCGGCCGCCCATGGTACCAAGTCATAGAGCGACCACATGCCAATGTAACATGGCGGTGCCACCCCATGACAGAGCACATAAAGATGACGCGCACAGTTCAGCGCCAAGTAGCATTCCAAAAAGTCATCATGCACATCCCCCGAACGTCCAAGTGAACACCCCTCCCCAGTCTTGGGCCATTGCGCCTCGTGCTGCACAAGATGCGAGATCTCCACGCAAGTCTGAGCGGCACACATGGAGGAGGGCTCCAGAGGCCCTAACAAGGAAGCACTGCAAAGGCAGATGATTCGAGCCAACACCACGCTCTGTCGGCAATGCTGGTAATATCGGCATATCGCGGACTTATGACACAAACAGAACCATACAAGGGCGTGCAAAATGGAAAAGGTCGCATACGAGATTGTTTTGCAAGGTACCCGTTCGCTTCGGAGTGGCACTGCATGCAAGTTTAGCCGGGGTCCGCAGAAACGTTTGCCGAGCCAGACCCTGGCTTCTGTGCTATGATCGCCAGTCCTACCAGATAGGCGCTCTGTGCAGGTAACCGAAGCTCTTGGCGGGTGGCAGGCTTAGGGCTACGGTTATCATCACACAACCAGAAGGACCAAGTAGGCGGGTCTCGGGTAAGGTCGGGCACACTCGAAACAGCTCGATAATGACCACTAGTGTAATGGTAGCCCCTAGAGCCCTAGATGTATGATGACGAACGCCACTTGATAGTTGAGAGGCAACTTCCGTGCTCTCAGCCGGAGCCAGAAAGTGCGGCAGGCTCACGCGAGAACCTGGCTCAATTGTCACACGGCGCATATCTTTGTGACGATTGTCATGGTATCTTCTGAGACTGAGGCAAACTACTCCTCTGCTGTTGCAAAGGCCGTGGACTGCATACTGATTACGCCAGTCATTGATGAGCCCTTGCAGAGGCGGGCGGGTGAGGTCTATAGAGCTATGGGGCCAGCAAGTGTGCCGGAGTCAGAGATAGTGTACGGCAGCATTAAACGTGCTTGCCACTGGCCTGCAAAGCCATCCAGCTGCCAGGCATTCACCAGATGCTGCCAAAACTCACCTACGTCATGCTGCTGGAAGATTCCACGCCAACCATGAAACAAGATCCTAAAGGGCAGGCACTCTGTGAGCGGTACTACATTGCCAGTGGCAAAGAAGCGAGGGCCAACCTGGGCGGTACCCTGTAAAGGCGAAAGCCATATCCGAAAGCTCGCGCAACCAGGACCACGCCTGCACTGCTGCGATTGCATAACAGAGGTTCATGCCGCCGGGGTTAGAGAACAAGTTGCAGGACTGCCCGGAGTCGGAGTTGTGCCGCCCTGGGCACAACCCCAGGGCACGACGGCCGCCCTAGGCCGTGGCTTTCTTCCGATCTCGCCAGCGTGGCTTCCACTCGCAAAAGTCCTGTCCCAGATAGCTCTGCTCCAGCTGCTCATCTGACTTCTCTGGGCTCGCTCCGGTTTGATGAAAAGCCCGAGCAGTTTGCAGCACGCACAGCCTGCCAGGCTTTCAAAGATACGGTGCAGATCGTCCGCTTCTTGGGATCTCACGCTGAGGGTCAGCATAATGACACGACCTCCCCATCCAGCTCCTCGAACAGGTTCTTCGTGCAATTGCGTTGAGAGGTGCCGGAGTGCCAGGTCGAGGTCCTTGAGGAAGGTGGTGTGCGAGCGCGGGTCCACCGGAGCCTGGATCTGACACTTGTTCTGGGTGTCCCAGCCGTGGTAAAACCACGCCGGGCCCAAAGCCTGGCGTCCCTCTCCCAGCCATCCTGCCTCTCAGCAGCGCTGCATCCGCGTCTCGTCGAGTTGCACATTCTCCATCTGCTCCTTGAGCATCGTGATAATGCCCATCATGATGGCCGTTTTGAGGGCCATCGTGACCTTCGAGAAGAGGTCCTCCCAGTTGGTGGTGGCGTCCTTGATGGCCTGAAGACACGAGTGGGGGACACACCACGTAGATCACGAACCCCGTATCGGCTCTCCACAGCTGGAGATCGGCTTCGTGGCGCAGGACCGCCCGCGTCAACGTGGTCAGGAGACCCTGCTTCTCGTCGAGCTGAGTTCTGGAGCCCTGGGAGCGGCATTGGTCCGTCTTGTAAGCCCCAGCCGCGCTTGTTGCTTCGCCACGCTGCCACGCTTGCCAGCCATCCGGTGAGTGTCCCTTGCCGTGCTGCTGTCGCGACCACTTTGGGGGGCGATCTTCCGTGGGATCCTCCTTCTCGGGATGACATTCCTCTCCCGTCGCGCTCTTGTTCATGCCGGGAAAGACCAGCGCCACCTCCGACTTGGCCCAAGTCCATGGTCTCCGCCATCTTGTGCTCGACGCGTAGAGGCTTCCTGATCGGCAACGATAAGAGCAGCAAATAGGGTTGGAAGACTGGCACACAACTGCGCAAGTGCTTGCGCGTGTCCTTGGTCGGCTTGCAGCAATATTTGCAAGGGCTAGCTACGTCCAGGCCCAAGCTAGAGATTCGAGCACTGGCAATCGGGGAGTGCTTCCACTCAGCTGCAGGCAGGAGACGCATATGCTGCTTGCAACCCGGGCCGACAAGCGAAATCCATTGACCACACAACACGCAGTATGTTCTCATTGTGCCACAGAAGTGTGAATCCTGAAGTGGCATTCGCCAGCGCTGCTGTGACTGCTGACGAAAGGTGGCGTCCTGTATGAGAGGAAGCCCTGCATGATCAGTAGCGGTGGTGCTGGGGGTGATCTGGCGAGCTGACTGCCTATGCAGCTCTCCCTGCCCAGAAGCTACCTGGACTTCTGGAGCAGTGATCACCCCCGACTCTTGATTGCTCGGATGAATGGGCAGACCATTAACCCTAGGGCAGCCTCTTTTGATGCGCTTTTTGAGGCCTTCAACCCGGGTATACTGAGCACCACAGAACCGACATGACGGCATTCCATCTACCGTATAACAGCGATGCACTTGCGTGGAGAGGACCCCACTAACCTGAGGCTGCCTGGAAATGTTCGCATCGGCAGGTGTCGTCTTGGGGGGGTTATTGGGCCTACCATGCTTGCGGGTCCTATGGGAGCGCATGTGCCTATGATGCGTAAAGTACTGACCACAGACATTGCGCGGCACACCCCAGGATTTCAACTCTGCAGTATCCATCGGCGTGATGGAGGTAAAGGCAAAGTCCTGGGCCTGACGCATACCGTGTAAGATGCATCCAAACCAAACTCGACTGGAAGGATCAGTGCTTTTAGCAAGAAGCCCATACATAAGGGTCGACCGCACGCAGGCAACATACAGCCGCACTCTGTGCTTCACAGAAACGCGCTTGTTGTGCAGCATATGTTGCAACCGCTTTGTAGGTGGCAACCTCAAATCTACCGTAGGAAGCAACAACACCAAGATAAACCATACTGGCAGCTGGGGGCACAAGCAATGGCTGATCTGGGCAACCGAAATTGAGGGCTGGCCGTCCATCCACCGTGCTGGAGTGGAGCCGTAGCCATCTCCGTGCAACGCTGCCTTTTAAGCTGAGAACCACACTAGACTTACTAGGATTGACGCTCATACCGGTCTTGTTGAACAGCGCAAACAGACAGCGGACAGCCTTAAGCGGAAACCCTAAGTCTTCAACCCTTTCTATTTCAAAGGCAGCGTGACTGTCGTCAGCGAACAGCGTGGCAAGTCGGGAAAGCCCAAGCCTCATTCGTACCTTCTACAAATTGATCATACAACCAGGCGCTATAAACCGAATAGAGGAGGGGAAGGAGTAGTAGTAGTAGTAGTAGTAGCAGCAGTGGTAGTGGTAGTGGTAGTGGTAGTGGTAGTGGTAGTGGTAGTGGTAGTGGTAGTGGTAGTGGTAGTGGTAGTAGTAGTGGTAGTGGTAGTGGTAGTGGTAGTGGTAGGTAAGGTAGTGGTACGTAGCGGTAGCGGTAGCGTAGGTAGTGGTATGGTATAGTAAGTAGTAAGTAGTAGTAAGTAGTAGTAGTAGTAGTAGTAGTAGTAGTAGTAGTAGTAGTAGTAGTCGTAGTAGTAGTAGTAGTAGTAGTAGTAGTAGTAGTAGTAGTAGTAGTAGTAGTAGTAGTAGTAGTAGTAGTAGTAGTAGTAGTAGTAGTAGTAGTAGTAGTAGTAGTAGTAGTAGTAGTAGTAGTAGTAGTAGTAGTAGTAGTAGTAGTAGTAGTAGTAGTAGTAGTAGTAGTAGGCACCCCCCCTACCAACTACACTTGCTCTCAACCATGTTAAGACAACATCCATTTTACTCGGTATTTACGGCACTTTCGTCATGTGCGATCGTCCTAAGAGGCCCAAAAATCGACTTGTCGAGTTTGCAAACTCGGGCTCTTGATTTTGGACTTGCTTCTGGGGGTGGGTGGGGGGGTGGGGGCGGGGATGATGACGACAGTGTTACGCGAACACACCCAGCAGTATCACCACAAGAGCCGTTTAACTCGGTATTTACGGTACTTTCGTGATGTCAGACTTTGTTACATATTCTGAGCCCCTACTTTTCGACTATGCGTATTAAACTTTGCTCTTTGGAACTGTTTGCAAAAAAACTCGAAATTGGGTGGGGGAAAGCTTCTTCGGGGATGATCACGACACTGTTTTGCGGACACCCTGAACAATATTTCCACACTCAAGCGCGCACACACCACACACACACACACACACCACTTCAAAAACAGACCCTCCTACGCAGAGGTTGGGCGGTAGGGGTGTTGGCGAACCCCTCCCACGTGCAGCTGGCATCTTTGTTTTTGATGTTCAGAAGATGTTGAGCTTCAGGTTTTAGAAACGTTAAACCCTTGTTGGCAGCACCTGGGTTTTGCACGGTATTTACAGCGTTTTCGTACTATCCGACCACCTGGGGTTTATCAGTTTCTTCCCCGTCGAGCTTACAACTCCAGCTGCTGTGGCAGGTTTGGGGCCTGAGCCCCTGCAACTTCACCGGCTGTGACAGCTAAGGAAACTGAGCCTCTGCAACTTCTGCAGCTGTCACAGATAAGGAGCCTGAGCCCGTGCATCTTCTGCAACTATCGCAGTTAAGGCGCCTAGCAGCTACCGCTGCCCAGCCCGGATGGAACAAGTGTAGTTGGGAGGGGGGGGGGTGGCTAGTAGTAGTAGTAGTAGTAGTAGTAGTAGTAGTAGTAGTAGTAGTAGTAGTAGTAGTAGTAGTAGTAGTAGTAGTAGTAGTAGTAGTAGTAGTATATAGTAGTAGCAGGAGTAGGAGTAGGAGTAGGAGCAGAAGTCGGAGGACGACGGCTACTCGGCTTGTCCTACTAACTTTGTTACGAAACTCTGCTCCAGATGTACCAATCTACACCCCTCCCCGCCCACCCCCAAACCTGCAACTCCCCCAAATACAGAACCCGGTGAAACTTTCAATCTAATTCCCCTCCGCGCTCTCTCCCGCAAAGCCATGCAATCTCGTCAACCGTTGCTCAATCTTGCCTCGCCCGCCCTCCATGCCGCCACCCCACTGGCTGATACTATCACAGAATGCTATGCTCTCTGGCCCTCGTCTGCCCCACTGCTACAAGTAGGCAAGATTTAAGTCAAGCCCCGCCCTGCGAGCCGTCGTGATAAAGCAATAACAAACCAAGGAATCGAGCACCGTCTCAAGAAGACACGAAGGACCCAAGAAGCCTGCCGTGGCTCGCGCGGCCAGGATCAGGGGCGACTCCTGGTCATAGGTCTGTTCTTAAGAGAAAGGCCTGAGTCGATGTAATTCAAATCAGCAGCGGAAGTGAGGACCACAGGTAAAACTCTTCCATGAATTGTCCAGTTAGGCGAATCTGCAGTTCAATATGGCAAAGTAGAACATGATAGAAAGACGCACCGATGATCTGGCGGGCTCACCCCTAAGCTGTTGAGGCTGCGTGGGTTGGCCCGACGGCCCAGCAGCAGCTGCATGACATTGAAACCTCAAGCAGCCAAGACGTGCAAGTGTAAAGCACCCAAGCATTCTACAAGGTGATTCTAGCGTAGACTGATGCTCGCTAGACGCTGGCAACTGATGAACTTCGTGCACATTCCTTCAATGCATGCCGATGTTCATCTGTCTGGAGTCAAGGCATCAGAGAATCCTGCCTTGGTCTGAAACTGGGTAAACCTCGCCCAAGGCATCAGCACAAAGATGAAGCAGCGTCTGCCTCGACAGACCAGTTGCCGTCAGTTGCCCTAGTAGGCTCCGACTGCCCGGGAGTTTCGCTGCGCTCGCTGCTCATGCCAAGCACCATGCTCAGTGTCTACTGATCCGACGCTGGCAGGTCAGATACTGTCGGCTTGAGGAGACTTTCGATGTTCGATGTGTCGATGCAGTCTGAGGCGAGAGCCCATCTTCGTCTGTGGCACACAAGGCATTTTGGGCATCTGGTATTCCCTGTACACTTGGCAACTGGAGGATTGGACGAGCTTTAAGCAAGTGGTCGAGGCTGCTTCCAACCTGAAGCAACTTGGAGGTGGCCCCGAAATCCAAAGCCGAGATAGCCAGCTTTAGTTCCTGGTCAGAATCTCGTGTTGAGCAAGCCGAATCTCTCTAGGGCTACACAGCGCATGGCGGTCCTCCATGTGCTTGGGCAGCTGTCGCTGCACTGATGGCGATTCATGTGCGCAAAGTTGATATGATGACTATTGCGAAGTGGACAGGTTTCGACGAGCCTAGCTTCTAGGCTACCTACCATGTTCTGTCCTGTGCATTGGAACACACAGAGGCCGCTCCCGTAGCCGACGGGGCCTTCACCGCAGGAAAAACAGCACCCCTGACCTGAGAATCTTGGTGGCCCCGAGCTGTTACTGGGGGAAGGTTTTTCCTGCGGCTCAAAACCTGAGGCGATGAACCGCACACACATGCAAAGGATAGGTTCCTGCACCTGCGCAAGAGTGGGCCACGGTACTACCGAACCACCAGCATTATCATTTTGTGCGTCCACGCCAGCTCGGGATGGAATGGGATGGAAGATCATCCAGCACCTATTGTCGGTGATAAGTGCTTTTGGAATCAGCGGTCTATCAATGGGCTCCCGAAGGGCCTCTGCTCACTCTTCATTTCCATCCTCGTGCCAGCAATGCGGGCAAGAAAGCATGAGATGCATGAGCAAGAACTTCTTGCGATCATGGAATAAACTCAAATGTCATGGACACTGTAAGGAGGCGCATTGTTCGGATTGCCAGGCCTCCATGGCCAGTTCACTCGCCCCTTCCAGTGCGTTGGTGGCATATGCCTCGCAAGCATCTACAGGGCCACGTGCCGTGAGTTGTTGGAGCACGGCAGTGCCCTGGCTTGAATGCAGAATCCTGCAATCAGTCTTTGTTCGCCTCCATCATGGCTTTGGCTGACTGCCAGGGTTCCCATTGCGTGAACACCTGGAGACAAGACCAAACTGGACCAACCGGAGACGACTGTGACCACCAGGTCTGTATACGGATGTGCCTCCTGCCAGCGACCTCTGGAAGTGTCTGCCTTCGCGAGGCCCATCTTCAAGACCGGATGTGGGCCATCCTCTCTTCACTTTTTCACGAGCTTCTGAAGTGCAGCCTGAAATGTTTATTAATTTTGTTCGCTGAGCTGGATCTGACACTTGCAGGCCACTCGCACTGGTTTAACAGCTTAAATATGATGCAACTTCTGGTTGTAGGTAGAGAAGCTTCTTTCGTTTAGCACATGCTTATCAGAAATGTCAGGGGTATGACTGTGGTGTAGCCGGCAAGCTTTGACTGTGATGTCCTGTTCACTGCCCTCGTCCATGAAGATCTCCCAAGTTGAGGCTTCAGGCACGCAGTAGCCGCCCAAGCCTCCGAAGCCTCATCTGCAAGGCTCATCCATGAGGTTTCCCGTCAGCACCCATGTGAGAACGTCGGAGCAGGTGGGTACGCCGCAGATCGGATACTCGCTGTCAGCCACAAAGTTCACTTGAACATCCTTCGCACCCACCTGAACACGCCAATGGTTACAATATACTCTGGCAACCACAACAGCCAACGACAGTGTGCAATCCGACAAGGCCATTTTCCCGCAAGCTGAATGTCACTGTCTCGGTAGCAGGTTGCTGCACGGTTGGACCTTGATGCAGTTAACCATGAAATGTCTGGCTGCAGAACTCTTAAAAACTGCCGCCACAATGACATATGTTGTTCCAAGAGCTTGCAACAGCTGAGCCTCCAGCTTGCCATGAAGTACATCACAAGGCAACATGTCCCACGCGCCGTTCTTTGGCGTGACTTGCATGGTCAAGGCCGCTTGGATGACTTTCTTGTCTTCGGCGCAAAGCTCATGCAACCTGTTTTCATGCTGAGGGATCGGTAGCTTTCTAGCTTCAGCTAGGGTGCCAGGACTCCTGGACAAGGTCAACGGAACACGTCGCGTGTCAGTCTGAGTGCAAACTGAACCGGCGCACCTGTGATCTGTCACCACCTTGTCTCGTGCAAGCGGAGCTCCGAAACCTCTGTCGCGTATAGTTCAATTCTTGGGACCTGGCCACAGTAAACCACCCATGAAGCTGCTGACTCGCCAAGGCGTTGCGGATGTCGCTCTCATACCCAAGAAACTCCTGGTGCCTTGCGAATTCGCGGCAACTATCTCTGTGAGGCTGTCTAGAGGTCCTAACGGTCATTGGGCCTTCCGGCGGCGGCATAGCAGCAAGTGTCATCCTACACACACAGGCGCTTCCTGTGGTCGCTTAGGCTTTGCCCAATTAGAGTTTGGCTGGAAGAACTGAATGCCACTTAACCAATGACCTCGTGGAAGATTTGAAGTTGCCAGCGATGCCGCTCGAAGCCTGCCAAGAGAAACTGGCCTCAACGACTCGACGGAGGGCTCAGCATTGCAGCACGGTTCACACACTTTCCCCGACACAAGCTGCAATTGCTATCAGCCGAGAATCACTTGTAGTTGCACGCCTGACAATACTCCCGGCCAGCATCTCTACGCCATCCATATCCTTTGTGCCTGTGAAATACCGAAGCTCAAGGCTACTGCCATGACCGACCTGCCTGACATCTTGCAAGATCTTGCAAGTATACAGCTGAGCAAAGCAGCAGTGACAGCTACGGCTGGTCGCCTCGCTCCATTCTTGAAGGGGAACGGTTTCAGCTTGCAGATCTGTTCGTAGTCACCTGTCATTCCAGAGGACAGGTCTCACAGAGGCTCTGAAGCCTCTAAGGCAAGCGGCCTATGTCACCTGTCGCCTCGATACCCGCAGCCGTGTGATCAAAGCGAAGAGACCATGGCAGGACACCTCTAGCCAGGCTTGGCAAAAGCGCAGACACCAAGGACGAACAACTTCCTCCAGGCGACCAGCCCGGCCTGCAATGGGGATTGACTTGACCACCCGCGTGTCCATAGCTGCGACGAGGCTCGTAGTCCACCCTCCACCCGACAGGCCAGCCAAAACCACATCCTGTTACAAGACACTGAGGGGCTTAGGTCCTCGAATCCCCTAGAGCATCAAAAGCCAATTCCTCGAAGCCCAAGCTTAAAGCGTAGTTGATGGTCAGTATCACGGGCTCACAGAAGTATCCTCGGCTAACCAGGCTTGGCATTCATCGCTGAAACTTGGCCTAGCAGGTAGCAGTCAACGATAGCAGTTGTGTAGCCGAAGCACGGATCGTGGAGTCACCAAGGCTTTCGTGGTGCCTTGCCACACTCGAATGAGACAGCATGCGGTTTGACGATGCTCGCTGTACCTGCTGAAGTTCTGTTCAGTCGCTGGAACCACCAGTGATCTGTCAGGTTGGTGCTGCGCCGTGGATCGAAATTTACGCCCACCAGTGGCATGGACAATATGAAAACCTCGGAATTTGTTTTTGCCACGACACCAGTTGCATGCGAGCGAAGGGCTCCAGATGCTCCAGTTGTCCCCTAATGAGCAAAGCTCAGTAATTGAGGTTCAACATGCCTAGATGCAGTTCCCCTAGGCTTTCTGTCAAGTTGCATTGTGCCCCAGCGCATGGAAGAACCGCGTCACATTGTCAAGATCCCACCAGGTGTATCCAGTGCCATTGGCTGCCCTCTCTTTGGTGTGCTTGGTACCCATGCATCCCATGCGACAGGGACCTTGAATCCAACCGGGGCGAACACCAGACTTTCGCTTGAGATGCTTGGCTCGGCCTCGGGAGCAAGCTCTGACCTCGCTGTACGCTGTTCATCCATGGTTGTCTTACCGGCCAAGCGTCTTGGCACGTGGGTGGATGGGGAAGGACAGACGCAATCGTGATGCCCATGGTGCCACAGCACTGCGCTCTTCGACTTTCGGAGGGGTGCTGTGAAGACCTCACTTCGGACCACATACTGCCAGACTCATCAATGCACAACGCGTTCAATTCAAAACGCTTGCTGATAGCCCTCGTATTCATAGTATTTCAGTATTTGGACCCTGTGCGAAGCCCGGTACGAGCACACCCCGATAGAACCCCGAAAGCCCGAAACAACCCGGTGGATATCTTCATAGAACCCAGTGAGGGAACCCTATTCTGCTTGTTAAGACACTTAGACGATGTTAGATACGGATCCCCGCAGAGGAGTTGAATGGGATCAATGATTGCCAATGATTACAAAAAAATCAACAAAACAACACGACCAAAGACACACAAAACAACCGACATCTATTCGTAAAACCAGCAAAACGCGCGGGTCGTTTTCCGAACCCGATCTGCGCTGGATATGTATTACGGTAAACTTAGATCGGGAAACTGTCACCATCTGTTTCTCCCACTACAGTACATTCCACTTCTAGGCTTCGTGCTTCACAGGCGCTTAGCGTTCAAGCCCCCCGTGCCCGTCAACCAAGAGCCGTACCGTGTATAACTTTCCCTCACGGTTTGGCGAACTCTTACAAGACCCGATTGAATTTCATGCTTCGCTCATATTCACAAACCTATAACCTATAAGCTAGCATGTTACGTTATTCCGACCCCAAACAGAGACAATGCTATGTTAGGGGAGGAGCGAGGAGACGCGGGAAGCGAGACCTCAAAGAGAAGCCCGACCTGAAGTCAACACCGACGCACCTCGGTCTCTGTTCATCCTTAATCCAAACGTCGAAGGTTGGCAATATCAGCTACACAGCCAGACATGTTCTCTACATCAGGGAATGCCGTATTTTTACAATTCCCCCCTTCTGACTTCGAGCGGAAATGAACGTCAGGAAACAATCACGTGGAGTGTTCATGCTTTCACCCACTGTTGATTCCAAATCTGTACATTCAATCCAGCATCATGCGGGCTGATCAGACCCAATGACAAGTAAAAAGCTGTCATCACAGCCGTGGCGCAAGCCTAACAACGTTTCGTCTGCGTATGACATGGTAATCCTCAAGATCATTGAGCACTGACCTCAGTTGAGTGCATGATGACAAGGGTTCAACCGCCTATCAAGAAGGCACAGCTACTCTGGAAAGTCAGGTAGTGGCTGTTGCGAAATCCCAAGTAGGAACCATGCATGCTCCCACTTTTGAAGCGGAAGCGCCTTCGTAAGGCGACCACCCCTCTGATCATCTGTGCGACAGTATTGAAGCACCACATTATCGTTAGTGTTCGCTGAAGCGACGTTCGCCCTATGCCTCAGCCCGAGCTGGCGCAGTTTGGAACTGAAGCCCTTCTTCATTATCGCTATGCAGGCTTGATTGTCCTCGTAGATGTGAAGGGAAATCCCCGGAATGAGTGACTCCCATACCTCGTGCATTGGGACTCTGCCTCTGTGCTTGATCGAGATTCGACCCTTTGGCGTGTACTTGACCATGACAACAGAGCGAAGCTGGCTGGGCCTTTAATGGCTAACACATACCCACTTGTTGATCGTGAGGTGTCAACACAGCCAGCAAAGTCGGAATCGCAGTAAGAAGCTAACCGCAGTTCGGAAGGAGGATCGTTGATGGCATGATCAACGGAGTTCAAGATATACCCTACGAGCCAATGGACTCGTCGATCGTCGTTTTTGCTCCATGAACAAACATGGGAGGCCAAAGTTGTAACGGCGACAAGCAAAACCGGGACGGCTCAGTCGAGCTAACCATATAGAACTTTCATGAGAGTCCGAGCAGCGGACTCAGTTAGCTGACCACGAGTCGCAGCATCTGCAGCTGGAAGCGTGCCCACATCCAATGTAGCGTGAGTTGCGGCTTGTCCGTCAACGAAGCTGCCGATTCACACAGCTGCACGCATTGCCTGGCAACGTCAGCAGACTCTAGTGCCACAGCTTTCTTCTGCTGCCAAAACACCAACCTATGACAGCGACCTAGGACTCTGGTCAGCGGTGCAAATGGCTCGAGCTCAACCTTCGGAGAAAGGGGGCGCCAGAACTCATCATGCAACGACCACCGGCCAGACAATGTCAAATCATCTACGTATACATACGGGTTTGAAGAAGTAAGCCGATGGTAGATTCGGAAACTCTTCACCACCTAATTTCAGCAGAATCTCATGGAGATGTTGCTGCCAATAGGCAGAAATTTCAGGATGTCCGTAAAGCGCCTTGTGGAGAGGCATGCGAGGCTGATGAATGTGTTTCTTTGTCTGGTGGGACGAGCTCAGGCGGCAGTAGAACATACGTGCAGTGTTTGGTTTTGGGTCTGGCCTGAGTGTACGCTCGCACGGCGTCACTGGTAGTAACACCATGAGACTCGAGGAGACTAAACGCGACAGCAGTCTTGAGCCCTTGGAGTGACGAAAGAGAACATGCAAATAGCTCTTCTCAAAGACTGCTGACACACCCGACCGATCACTGAGATGTCATCGCCACCGGGCTCAGCTCAGAACCCTTCGCAGACAAAATGATCATCAAATTCCCAAAGTGAACCACATTAGAAGTTCTGATAGCCCGTGCAACTAACCCATCCTTTTCTTTCTTGATGGCTTCATATGCGCCAGGTTGCCCAGCCCATGCCTTGCGATCAAGCAACCGGTGGACTTACCCGGGAACCTTAACTTCCTTCATGCCAGACTCGTGCATGAGCACATCAAGCGGCACTCGAGGTTTGGAATCCTTTTTGCGATGAAGCTGGACTGTGGAAGTGGGGCAAGGAAGGAGCGCATGGTAACGCAGGAGTTTGGAAGGCAATTGAGAAAGGATACAATGACATGCGCAACACCTTGTGAAAGGCTTCAGGGTAATGCCCACCCCTAGGCCAGAGAGTGTTTGCCTGAAAATGTTTCACGCTCGGTGCATGTGTGCACTTGAAAGGTTTGAAGTTCTCAAGTTACCCTGCGCGAATCAAACTGACCTTCGAAAGCTTGGACTTCCGGAAGCAACCAGCATGATGAATCTTGCGGCCATTCCAATACAGCCGCACCGCCGTTTGCAATGACGACTGAAGCAACTTGTAGAAAGCTCAAGAGCGATCGCCGTGCTTTCCAAAGGTTGTAACCCGACTGTTTGATTCCCCAACCATCACTGAAAAGCGAACCACAAAGGCTGCAACCCGGGAATGCTGTCGGTACTTCTCAGGGTACTGAAGGACACGCTGAGAAACATCAGTAACGAAGAAAGGCAGACTCACAGGAAACCAAGTGAAGGCTTTCCCGGAATCAACGTCAATCCCAGTGCTGCGAACTAAAGGACAGCTGTCCAACATGTAGTGATTTGCAAAATCCATGTTGTTGGACTCAAGCCCAAGCGTTTGCACATCAGGCTGAGGCCCACCCACCTGTGTGAAAGGTAATAGGGGACCTAGATGTACCTAAGCAGCGATCAAAGGCATCGCGGGGAATCCTTTGATCAAAAAAAGGCTTTAGCCGAACTTAAATGACGACCAGCAGCAGTGTCAGCGGCCCACTCAACAGCATAGGTCGGACCAGCAGAAATCACAGGCGTACACAAACTAGAAGCTGCAACAAGCGCGACAACAGCTGTTGCGACTGCTCCTGCTCGAGGTGCTGGATGTCGACTGCGTGCTGTCTCCACGCCGGGAGCGCCGGTAGACAGGAGCTTTGTTGTCTTTCTACCCCTGGGCTGCCTCATGGCGGGGTGTGACCCTGCCATCTCATTGCCCGAGCTGACGCCGCCGGGCGGCCGAGGCAATGGTCGCAAACGAAACGGCCATCGGCCGCAGCTGGACCAATGCGCCCACTTCCACAGATCTGGTTTCGGCTTGTTCCAGGCTGACGCGCTGGGCAGACTGAAATTCTTTGAGAAACGGCTGTGTGGCAGTCAGGGTTCCTGACGGCAACTGACAAAGTCACCTGCAGATTCTTGTGAAACAGGCAATGCGACACAGTTGCAGCTGCTTCCCCAGTGCTGACTTTCCAAGGGATGCTTTCTCAGCGCCCTCATGTGTTTTCCAACGCGCATCTACCACAGTCAACAGCTCAAGCAAGATCAGAGCCGAGGAACGATGATTGTTGAAGTAACCTGCCGAAGACATGCGCAAGCAGCCAGCAAACATGTAGCCAGAGTCGAATTAGGTCTGTGCCCGTGTGTGTGTGTGTGTGTGTGTGTGTGTCATGGGGAAGGCTGGCAGAAGTCAGAAAGTGCAGCCAGAAAAGATGCAGAAAGACAGCGTCTTGCGACCCGTTTCCCCCTCTTGCCTGGGGCTGGCTCGCAGCGAAGTGTGTCTGTGGCACCGAAGGGCAGGCGCTCCCCAAGAATCATTTTTAAGTGCTAGAGGCTTCTGGGGTTTAGGGCGCCTAGGGTTTAGGGCTTATTTGAAGATTTAGAGCCGGAAGCTTCTCGTGCCCTCGGAATTTTGTGCCACCGTCATAGGTGGCTTGCCACGGACGATACGCCGTCTAGGGGTTCAGGGTTTAAGGTTTACGTGAGGTCTGTGGGCTCCTACCGCTTCTGACGTCGCTCGTCTGGATTCCGGGGGGTTTGAGGGTTGAGGGTTTAAGGCGTATGGATTCCCAGCGCCTCTGACGTCGCTCGCCTGTCCTCGGGGCTCGGGGCTCTGGGAATAAGAGTTTAGGGTTTAGGGCTTTTGGGTCCAAGGTTTCTGGTTTAAGGCAAACTGAGGTCTATGGGTTCCTACCGCCTCTGACGTCGCTCGCCTGTCCTCGAGGCTCTGGGTTTAGGGGTTGAGGGCTTCGGGTTTGGGGGTCGGGGCTGAGGGTTTAAGGTCTATGGGCTCCACGTTCCACAGCCGCAACCCCAACGTCTCACATCGTTGTTTCCAGAAGTCGTCCGCGGGTCCCGAACCTGCCGCGCAAGCCAGGCATGTGTTTCTATCTTAAGGGTTTAGAGACACTGCGGCGGAATACGACTCCGCAGTATGAGGCCACGTAGTTTGGCTTTTCTTTTTTGGAGAACGACGAACTGGACAACAGCACATGCTGGAGAC